AAACTTCAATATAAATAAGATTCCATGTGACATTTGGGACAAACAATAACATAACCCAACTAAATTTGATGTCAATCAAGGAGAGAGGCTCTCTTTCCTTGTTTAATGTGGCCTCTAAAGATCGCACTTCTTGCCTAACAATATTTTTGCCCCCACTACCTTTACATTCTCTCTTTTGTCTTTTTGCTCGATGGTTTGGACCTAACCAGGTTACAATCAGTGAGCTGTATGGAATAATGGATAAATTTGCTTTTTCTTTGGGTGGACGATTATTTTTCAAATTATATTACTATAAGACAATGTAAATCACCACAAAACTTCCCTGACATAACCGTGCAAGATCAAAGAATCGAACGTGTAAGAAGATATAATTACCTGGGAACTGTTATCAACGAAAATAATGACTGCTCTGAAGAAATCAGAACCAGAATAGAGAAAGCTAGAGCCACATTTACTAAATTGAAAAAGGTGTTCTGCGGAAGAGATCTAAGTCTAAAACTTAAAATTCGCCTTTTGAGATGTTACGTTATGTCAGTTCTCCTCTACGGGATGGAAACATGGACATTGAAAAAGATCGATACCAAAAAGATAGAAGCATTTGAGTTGTGGATGTATCGTAGAATATTAAAAATACCCTGGACAGAGAAAGTAACAAATGTGGAGGTTTTGCGGAGAGTGCGGAAAGAGAAAGAGCTGATACTTACTGTTAAAAAGCGCAAACTACAATATTTGGGACATGTTATGAGGGGAGATAAATACCAGTTGCTGCAATTGATTATACAGGGAAAGATAATGGGAAAGAGATCTATAGGAAGAAGAAGGCATTCATGGTTGAAAAACTTGAGAGAATGGTACAATTGCACCAATTACCAACTGTTTAGATCTGCAGCATCAAAAATACGCATAGCTTTGATGATAGCCAAACTTCGGAACGAAGACGGCATTTGAAGAAGAAGACAATGTAGAGTGCGGATTTGTGTGATTTTTTCAGAGCACCAACGTACTGGTGATAAATTTTTTAACATATTTATCACCAATATGTTCAGAATAACTGTGGCTATCAATATGTGGTCTTCTGGTTGAAAATATTACCGTATTTATAGTGAAATCACTAATCCAAGTTCGGTAAAATTATTATGGAGGGAATTGAAGGTAAAGAGTATTATTACGGAATAAATTCGCTAACGACACTTTCATGTGTTCCCAAATTAAAAAAAATATACTTTTGACAAGGTTTTTTATGAATTTTGACAATCCTACAGGATGGAACATCACTAAAGAAATCTTAAATAATGAAAAAGGAAATTTTTGTAACTAGCACTAGGCTTAGAACTTTTCAAGTTACCCTCGTATATGCAATAGTAGTAATAAGTAAGGAAAAACTTGTAAGAAATCTTCATATTTACTTTAATAGTTCAAACTTCATCCCAATCTAAGCTACTTACGTCGTGTGCATCGCAATAAAATTTTATGCTTAGACTGTGACATTTTTCCTAAGTAATCTCTGTGTCTATCTTCATTCAAAGTCATGTTTTTATTACTAATAACTTTAAACACTAGAAACTTCTTTCAGTGTAATTAGAAATACTAGAAGTGGCTACTTACCCATGAACGAGTCACATTCTAAGCTAAATCGAATCAGTTAGTGCTAAATACCATTGTATGGGTTTTTTTTTCAGTACTCATAGTATACGATGTTCAACTTCTTCTTTTGTTTTTTTTTTGTTGCTATAGCTCGGCAGCTACAAATTTTAGAAAAAAATTGTAAAGACAAAAAAGTTTTGCAATTAAATTTCTTTTAAGATAGAAATTAATTTTAAATTGAAAAAATAGTTATTATTATTGCAAAGTTAGCAAAACCCAATAAAAAAGGGTAAAAATTATTGTTTTTTAATAATTTCTTTCAGGTATTTAAAAGCAACAAAATTTCTGAAAAATGTTATTAATTTTCAAAATTATGCAGAGGTAACAAAAAAGTTTCAAATACTTGAAAATTTTTTATATATAAAAGGCAGTGAGGCTTTCGAATAAAATTCGAAATATTGAAATCGGTTGACTAGAAGAGTCTAGGGAATGTTTTAAAAAACTGAACAATTTTTAAGATAATAACAAATAGAACCTTACTTCCATCTATTAATTATTATTTTGGTTGAATAGATCACATGCTATAAGTCAGTTAAAAAATATCCGTAAGGGGCGCTTACGTCGAGGTTTGGTATTAAATCATAACCGCATACTATTCCTCAATACATTTTAATACAGTTTTGCAGATTTTCAGCTATAGTTTCACAGTGTTTAAAATTTGTAAAATAAGTGAGTTATTTAATGTTTAGCTTGAACATTTTTGCATAATGGATATTTTAATTTAAAAATTTGTTTTTTATTTTCTGTCTCATAGTTAACTATCGAAATAAGCAAATTAAATCTTGTTTAAGTATTATATTTTTCAAGTTTAAAACAAATTATAGTTGATAAAAAACTAGTAACAAGTAACAAATATTATAATACGTAAAACTAATAAAAAAAAATAAGTGCTATCCTACCAGAAATTTGAATTGATCAATATAGGTAGATCTATAGATGGGAAAATAATTTGCAAGTGTTACTTATGCTATTTTTAAAATTACAAATCATAAAACAGTTATAAATTATTTCATTTATATATAAGAATAATTAAAAATAAATTCTATCTTTCCGTATTTTATATTTTTTTGAAAATCCTATAATATTTTCAACAGTATATCAAAACGGAAAAATCTTGAACAACATAAGATTCGCAGACGACACCGTGTTTTTGCAGACAGTCTAGAAGCACTGCAACGCTTAGTAAATAGATTACATCAAGTTAGTATCAAATATGGACTTTTACATGAACGTTAAGAAAACCAAGTACATATGACTATTTCTAAGCAACATACAGTAGGAAGGCTAGATATCGAGGGCAAACAAGTAGAAAGAGTGAATAATTACAAATATCTGGAAACCTGGATAAATGAAAACAATGACCAAGGTAGAGAAATAAGGGCAAGCATTGAAATTATTGTAAGACAAGCATTAAAAAAAATGAAAACAATGTTTGTCAATCGAGACCTTCCTCTGGAGCTGAGGGTAAGAGCCTTAAGATGCTACGTGTTCTCGACTTTGTTGTATGGAATGGACAGCTGGACACTAAAAGTGGATAACATAAAGAAGTTGGAGTCATAGGGCGAACAATCACAGTCATTTGAAACGCATGTTGGGCTGCGACAGGGAGATGTGCTGGCGTGTCTCCTTTGCAACATAGCTCTGAAAAAGGCGGCCAGGGATGCCCAAATATACAACAGAGGAAACATTTTTAATAAATCATCTCAAATTTTGGCATATGCAGATTATGTTGACCTAGTTGCCCGCACAACACGCAAGCTAGAAGAAATATATACCACCTTGTCAAATGCGTCAAAAAATATGGGCCTGCAAGTAAATGAGAAAACTAAGATAATGGCATCAACACCCAACAATAGGGCCAGAAACATCGGCCACAAATTCACGGTTGATAACTCTACGTTTGAAGTGGTGGACAAATTCACATAATGAAGCGAAGAATAATCCTAACAAACAAATGCTATTTTGGATTGAGTAGACATATGAGAAGCAGAAACTTAAGCCAAACAATACTGGTCATCTGAACTTAAAAAATGGTGACAGCTTGGCTATTACTATGGAAAAGGTTTCAAAAATGTGCGATGTGAGTGTTCGCCAAATTTAGGACATCCGCGAAGAGACCCAGCAAATCGAACTGAAACTTGAAAGAAAGAAATGGAAAATTGTCTATGATTTTTGTTGGAAAACATACCACCAACCTTGTAATGGACATACAACGACAGCGTAATGGACAGAGTGAAGGATGATGAGGACCTACCAGCTTTTTTAAAAACCACATTCGTATGCCACTAAATGACATGGGTTTTGAATATGGTAAAAGAGGTCGAGGTTCGATAATGATGGAAAGAAAAGATATCATATCCTGGAGACACAAGTACCTCAGACAAATAAAAATATTGAGGAAGAAGGATAGTGTAAACCTTGTTTATATCGATGAGTCTTGGATCAACGTCGGTGCTTCAGTCAAAAAGGAATTGAGGGAAATAACGATCAAGAATCCACGAGATACCTTCATAAAAGAGCTCTCTACTGGACTGAAAGCTCCAACCCAAAGAGGTCCTCGGTTTGTTCTTCATGCTGAGAGCGAAACTGGTTTTGTGGCATGAACTCTCTTGACCAAGAAGGAAACCGTTGATTACCACGACGGAATGGATGGGGATCTATATGAAGAAAGATTGGAGAGGACGTTAATTCCAAACTTGCCGAAAGACAAAGAAAACTTTTGTCGTTTTCTTCATTTTCATTTTCTTCATTTAATCATATCATAATAATCATAACATTTTCTTCGAGGAAGATTAATTAAAAAGTGAATTACTTTTTAAAAAAGTGGATATTGCGGAAAATTTAGAGACGAGTACGACAAGTACAAAATTGAAACAATATATTATAGGCTAATATTCTGCCTCGAACTAATGACTCAGAGAAGAACAAGTGTTGGATGTTTTCATGGAACTGTCTGGGAACTTTGAAAATTAAATAAATGGTATAATACTGCTACTTTCTTCTGGTTAATGAAAATTGCCAGGTTTATTATTAAAAAGAAAATTATTATATTGCCTTTACAGTTTTTTCTCTAATTTTAGAGAGTTTTTTAATTGTTTTTCATTTTATAATAATAAAAATCATGAAATCCTCACCAAGGTCTGTATTAATTTATTAGTACTCGTCTTTGTTTATGTTTGAGAATAGCTTGTATATTAAACAGAAAAACTCAATTTGTAAGTACTGCTTGTTGTACAAATATCTGAAGGTTTTTAGCAATAACTGCTTCAACTATTTGTGAAAAATGTTAAACCTCAATTTTCTAAATTTCTTGTAGAAATAGACAAAATATTGGATAGTTCTAGTCACAGTCAAGGTCAGAGTTGGCTTGAGGACAGTGCCGGGTCGGACTCTGATTTGCGAGAGAAACAGAGACAGCTAGACCCCGTGTTGTTGGCCGGCTTTAACTCTTTGTCGCGTTCAACCAGACATTTTTGATAATAATCGTAGTCCTTTAGGTACCACACAGGCGGCCAGCGATGCTCCACCAGATAGGCCTGGTTGTCCGGATGCAACAAGCGTAGACTGCGAGGAGACATCCTGCACAGTTTGTTGTAGTTGATGCAGAGATGGTTCATGCACCAGTCTGCAAGCTGGTGGCCGTTGTGTAACTGAAATCAAAAGAAATATTACTTGTTCCTTCAATACCATCGAACAGAGAGCAAAAAACAGTTTGTTTCCACATTTTTATTTAACTACCAGAGAAATATACAGATTGAACGAAATAAATTCGGAACATAGGAATATAATGTATTTCGGCACAATTCTGCTGTAACTGGTTGGCCAACAAAAGATTGTCAAATAATTATATTATAAAAAATCCCATACTTCAGCGGTCTGCTGGATTCTGAACTCATAAAAATTGAAAGCTACACATAAATCTACGATTATGCTGTCAAACCGGTTATAGTCCAGGAAATGTAACATTTCACCTTGCAATTTTTTCGTGCGGCGTGGATTGACTTGAAATTTAACAGAAGGTAGGTAATAGCCTAAGGATCAATATCTATATCGAACCAAAGTGCGCCAAAGCCTAGGGGGTGGTTGCCACCCCATCTCCGGGGTGAAAATTTTTTTTACGTTTTAACTACAGGTTTCGATTAGAAAATGTGATTCTAAACAAAAAATGTGCTATACATTTTTTTTATAAAATGATATTTTTCAAGTTATTCGCGATTGAAAGTAACAACTTTTAGACGAAAAAATCCACGTTTTTAATCGATTTTTCGCGAATAACTCGAAAATGGTGCATTTTATCAAAAAAATTGTAGAGAACAAATTTGTAGCTTTTAAAAAGACAAATACAATTACAAATACAATATCAATGTTCAGCGGTTTTCTTCAAATGCCAAATTTGAAAGATTCAAAGTCAAATATCGGGAAAATGATGCATTTTTGGAAGAAAACTCACAAAAACCTTTTTTAAAGAGCATAAATAGACCTATCATAAAAAAATAAGGTCAATACCTCATTTTTTACGAAAAAATCGAGGAAAACAACACCCTAACCACCCCATAATTAAAATCGATCTTCACCCTTCTGCAATTCCCTTTGTAGATGTATTGTTAATACGTCCAAGAAGTTTGACCCATTTAAAATGCTTAGTTTTAGAAAAAGTACAGCTTAAAGCAAGAAACGATTTACAATTTCAAATTTTTTACCCTTCTTTTTTTAATATATGCCCGAAAATACTGAATATATGACAAAAATAAAAATTACCAAATTGTAGCTTTTTTAATGACTAAAATTATCCTTTATTTAGATTTGTTGTACAATGAATATTTGGCGAGATATAGCCGTTTAAAGCATCGATTTACGATCAAGCACCATCTTTTTCGGCCCTTCAAACTCACCCCATTTAAAAACCAAGGGTTCCAAAAAGATTTAATTCACAGATCCTTGCAGCTATTAAAAACCTCTACAAATCGTTTTTGAAGAAACATCTATCGTTAAAAATTAAAGGAAATACGTTAAAAAAACCAGTTAATTTTTTTCCGGAAAATTCCATTAGTATAGTACAGTACATTTCGGAGCATAATAATCTACAAAACCGGTATATTAGCTAGTGGGGCGTTATAACATTCGAAATTTTAAGCGTTCTTATCTTGAAATCCCATACAACAGAATAAAACATCTGCTCATATGTCTATGGCTTGGCAATGAAAATATCAGAGCAACAGATAGGGGATGGTTTTCCAAAGATGGTTAGTTATTACCCGTACGCATGAACAAACAACCTGCACCCGATAAATTTTTGAAAATTATTTTTTGCCAATGCAAAAAAGGATGCGGCGTTTCATATGGGTGCAGAAAAGTTGGTTTATACTGTAACTCTACTTGTTCTGGGTACTCAGGTGAAGGGTTGCAATAACAGTCCACCAATAATTGAGGAAGATGATGATGACATAGATCACGATGAAGATGTAATTGATGACGAATAAAATTAATATTATAATTGTTTTACCTATAAATGTAAATATTTTCAACTATTTATGTAAATGTATAAGAATATATGGTGCCTTTTTATGTTGATAATTTTTTTTGTCTTTAATTCTACTTTTTTCAATTTATATCTTATAAATTAGTTTATAAAAACTTCAATGTTGTAAAGGGTGATTTTCAAAAGTTGAAAAGTTGCAAAATTTTGGCAAAAAAATTGTTTTCACCTATAGCACTCATAACAATTGATTTTTAAGGGTTGAAAATGTATGAATTTGTATTTTAACGTATAAAAAAATAACTATTTAACTAATCCAAACCAAATTTCACTCATCTTAAGATTTATAATATTATTTTACAATTTTTGAAAATTAGAAGTAGTTTTCACCCTAAGAACAATCAGGGTTCATCGGCATGACATAAACTATAAAGCAGAGGGTGAGTTGAGCTTAATTCCAAATTTTTATGCAAATCGTTTCAAGGTGAAATCATTTTCTCGCATTACTAATTTTTTTATATTAATCTCTAATAAGGGTCGCTTTTTAAGGGTTGAAATATGATGGAACTTTATTCAAAAGCACGAAACTATCATTATTTAATTAATTCAAACCAAATTTTACCCATATTCAGGTTTAATATGTTATTTTATAATTTTTGACAATTACGGGTAGTTTTCACCCCTAAGAACAATCAGGGTTCGTCGACATGACATAAACTATAAAGCAGCGGGTGAATTGAGCTTAAATCCAAATTTTTATCCAAATCGATCCAAGGCGAAATCATTTTTTTATAATTGGTAATTTTTTTACATTAATCTCTAACAAGGGTTGCTTTTTAAGGGTTGAAATATGATGGAACTCTATTCAAAAGTATAAAATAATCATTATTTAACTAATTCAAACCAAATCTTACCCATATTCAGGTTTAATATGTTATTTTATAATTTTTGACAATTAGGGGTAGTTTTCACCCCTAAAACCCTTCAGCGCACTTCGGTTCGATATAGATTTTGATCCTTGGGCTATCACCTACCTTCTGTTAAAATTTCAACTGGATACATGCAGGACGAAAAAATTGCGAGGTTTTAACTATTTTCGAGCTTTATTTCCTGAACTATAATCGTTTCCTTAGACAAACCCGTCTTACGCAAACAACTTTGTTGCGAGACAGATAGTTGAACGATATTTTATACAATGTCTATACCCAGGTATGGATTTATTTTTGTCCAAGTTTTATATTGGTCCACTATTTTAAATGCAGTTCAAACACACATGTATTAAATTGTATGTTCCGTTTTAATTTGGTTCAATCTGTATACTGGTTCATTTAGAGTTCTAAATTATGCTTTTTTCAAAATAAAAAAAGAAATAATTTTACCTTAACGGGTTCTAGCAGTCTTAAACACTGTTCAATGGCTTCAGACGGTTGCAAAGTTTCCAAATCTTCAATAACTCGCTTTTCCACCAAGTTGACAAGCCTGGGTAGGCACAACCTATTCGCGAGCTCCAGTAGATTGACACAGCGAACTGCCGACACTTCTGGCACCTCATCCGTGTAAAGAAAACAAAGTAATTTGTGAAAAGTATATTCCCTTACTCCCGGAAATTCAATCTGAAATAAAAATTGATTAAATCCATCCCTATACTATATAGTATATTTCACGAATTTGACGACTATTTTATATTAGGCATAAAAGCTTTGACTTTAACGATCCGATGTACTGAGAAAGTTAATACTAAGAAGCACTGTCGAAGACAAGCAAAAATACGATTTCATTTAGAGCCGCAAGATTGAAAGGAAAAACTACCCTAAGAAAATCTTGGAATTAGTCTATGAAAAAAGAAGAGCAAGAAAAAAATGGCAACTAACCAGAGCGCCACAAGGCAGAACAAAAGTAAATCAACTTGCCTCACAACTAAAGAGAGAGTTTAAGCAACTTAAGAATGAATCCATCAGGAAATTCCTGATACATTTAACAAATGATTCAACTGATAGCGTATGCAGACGATATTGCACTGGTTACTAGAGATTTAAAAACCATGCAGAACATAATATCAATACGAGATAAAGAAGCAAAGAAGAGAGGGCTAGTAATAAACCAAAGCAAAACGAAATACCTCAAGCGTTCAAGAGAGAATACGAACATAAAGAAAGAAATTAAGCTTGGTGCATATACATTTGAAAGAGTACAACCGTTTCAAATACCTGGGAGTGATGGTAATGACAGAAATGATAGAACGGATGAAATAAATGAACGCATCCTACTGGGTAATAAAACCTACTGGAACTACCAAAAATTCCTGAAAGAAAAGCACATTAATAAGAAAACCAAATTAAAAATTTACAAGACTGCAATCAGACCAGTGATCACCTATGGCGCAGAGACGATGTGCCTAACACAAAAAGATGAAATGAGGTTGGAAATCTTAGAGAGAAAGATAATTCGACGAACAATGGGACCGGTGAGGATAAGTGTAGGCGAATTAGAGATTAACCAATGAAGAAATTAAAGAAGTCATCGAGGGTGAAGACATAATCAAGTTCGTGAAGACGCAAAGGCTCAGGTGGCTGGGACACACAGAAAGAGCTAACCCAGACTCTACGCTAAAGCGAATAACTGGATGGAGACCAACAACAAAGAGACCAAAGGGAGACCCAAAACAAGATGGAGAGATCAAGTCTTAGGAGACATAAAGAAGCTGAGAATCTACAATTGGAAGGAGCGCTGTAAGGACCGGAAAGAATGGAGGAAAATTGTAGACAGGGCCAAGTCACACATGCTGCTATAATAATAAAAAAAAACAACAGCGGACTGATTCTCCGCAATAAATGAATCAGAGAGCCCAAAAGAGGGCGGCAAAACACTCCGCCAGGAGTGAATAAGCCATGATGATGATGATTATAAAACGATTATTTTTTAAGTTACTATAGATAAAATTCACATTCAGATGGCAGCGTTACAGAGATAGGCCTGTACTTTCTATATGCCAGAAATAACTACATTGTTGTCAGTTTTTAATCGTACCTACAATCGTACGTTATGGGCCGGCTCCTATAAAAGAATTATAATTTCGGAAATATTTATGAATGTGAAACGGAAAAATACTACATTTTTTTAATTATATAATTTTTCTGTTGGTATTTTAAAAATAGAAAGTTATATTTCGGAAATCTGGTCTTTTCGGAATTATATCTTCTGTTCAAAATTGTTTACAATTCGTGGAAATGAAATAATTATTTGTATAATCCGTTTTTGATCTTAATGTCCTTTTAATGACACACTTTCTCTACCTGCATTTACAGTTACAGACATTAAAAAATAATTTAGAATTAAAAAAATATACCTATTTATAAATTCAAAATTATTGTCTAATGCCAGCAATTATAAATTCAGGTAAATACTTGAGAGTCATTAAAAGAATTTTCAGTTGATATCAGACGTTTGTGTCGTGTCAGTGTCAAAATGGCCGCGAGTGTAATAAAATTCAAAAACGGTAATTTGTTAAATAGTGAATGCAAAAAAATAGTGTTAAATGTTTTTAACTATTTATCAAACAGTAATAATGATAAAAGTGTATCAACAATAGTGCGGGAAGTTTCTGCTATGACTGGAGTCTCTGAGCGAACGATATTCCGATATAGAAGTGAAAGTAAAAATGGTCCACTCGTAACTCCTATAAGAAAAAAAAGAACCGGTTATTTGAATAGTCGTGAGAATAGATATGATGAAGCAACTCGGTCTAGAATAAGACAAGTAGTGCACGGTTTTTTTATGGACAATATTCCTCCAACCCTTGACGTAGTACTAGAAAAAATTAAGCAAATGGAGCATCTTCCGAATTTTTCCAAGAGTACGTTGAGAAGACTATTGCACGACATGGGTTTTATATATGGCAAACAAGGTAGAAATTCAATATTAATAGAAAAACAAGAAATAGTCGCTTGGAGGCGTCACTATCTCCGGGAAATAAAGAAACTGAGGAACGAAGGAGCCAATATCATTTATATGGACGAATCATGGGTTAATACTGGAATAACCAATGGGCAAGTATGGCAAGATACAACAATAAAAAATAGCCGACAGGCTTTCGTAAATGGACTTACCACAGGTTTAAAAACTCCGACCGGAAAAGGACCAAGATTTGTTTTAGTCCATGCAGGAAACAAAGACGGATTTGTTGAAGGTGCTGACATCACTTTTCTTGCCAAAAAAGGTGCTGAAGATTACCATGAAGAGATGGACGGAGATCTATTTGAAAAATGGTTTGAAGAGATGTTAATACCGAATCTCCCAAAAAATAAAAAGAATGTCATTATCTTGGACAATGCATCTTATCACTCTAGGAAATTAAATTTTCCCAAACAATATTGGGTGAAACGTCAAATTAAGGAGTGGCTCTATGAAAAGGACATTTATTTTGAAGAAGATTACTTAAAAAATGAACTTCTGGAAACTGCTAATGTATTTAAAAATATTTATGACAAATACAAAATTGATTGTATTGGTGAAAAATACAGGAATCACAGTGACGAACAATGCCGCGTAGATGTACATATCTTAAGACTTCCGCCTTATCACTGTGAACTGAACCCAATAGAAATGGTGTGGAGTGAAGTGAAACGGTACGTGTCCTCTAAGAATTCAAGTTTCAAACAAAACGACGTTAAAACATTGATTTATGAAGGTTATGATAAAGTACAGAACAATGGACATTGGAAAAATTACGTCAACCATGTTATAAAATTGGAGAATAATTTTTGGACAGTAGACAACATTCAAGATGACATTGAACCTATTAGAATTTCATTAAACGATGACTCTGAAGATGAACTAGATTATGAAAATGAAGATGATTGAAAATTGTTTTTCGGGGGTATTCTTTTCTCAGTAAAGGTAATAAAATATTTAGTTGATCTGGTTGAAATGTAGCACACTTAAATAACTCATTAATCGACATAATTTCAAGTAGTTATATTAGACGTCATTATGCAAAAAATAAAGTTATGAACATTTAATAAATTAGTGCACAATTGAGGCCCCTAGAACACAAGGGGTGTAAGTGCCAAAAACAAAGTTTTGAAAAATCTTTGTTCAAAGTTCGATATAAATTTAAAAACCTAGGTAGCACTTTTTCAGTTTTCAGCATGTTTTCAATGACATGTAATTTTTGATGGTGTTATTGTTGTTAATGTAGAAAGTTTGAAGCCAAAAGTACGTGCCTGTTGTTAGATATCAGTTGCTAAGTGATAAGCAACTGCACTTACACCCTTGTGTTCTAGGGGCCTCAATTAGGGGTTTTTTGCAATTATCTCAGTCATTTGTTTATGTATTTTAATTTACAAACTAAAAAATTAAAAAACTTTTTAAGATCTGCAACATTTATTTGAAACATTTTTCCCTAAAATGCACGAGGAACAAAATAGGCAAAAAAATGATTTTTTCCAAACTTCATCTTTCTTTAAAAAATAAACAAAGCAAAATTGGCTGTAATTCTTCAAGGAATTATCATCAGTTATCCCTTATCTACCGTTTAGAACATTAAAAAACCTGTAGAATATTTTTCATATTTTTTTCCCTATTAACTGCGGTATTATGTATAAAAGCATTTTAGGAATTATTACCATTTATTTCATTCACGAATTTTCTATTAACAACTTTAGCTTACCTAAACATATCTTAGTTTACCGTGAGTTTGGCCCTGCTCATTTTACAAAAGTAGCAAAACTTACAATGGCAGTAGAATTGGCAACGCTGTTATCCTATATCCGTACACTGCCATCTGAACGTGACTTTATCTATAATATATTTACTGTCTTACCACTTTGGCTTGGCTCTCACGAAAATCTCCTCGAAACATCGCTTTCATGACATCACATCGGGCGGCCAGCATCGCTTTGTGTGCCGTACAGGCACCGTCGTCGAGCTCGAAGATGACATCGGCGAAGAGCGCCTGATCCAAGCAGATGTCCTGCAATCTCCTCTTCAAGAAGTTTTCATAGGACTCGTCTGGGGGATCGGGGGCGACAATGGGTGCTTAGTAAGCAAAACTAACAACTGAGGCAGTTCTAAAAATTCGGCAGCTTCTCGGGTTTCCTAACAAAAATATGAATTTACACAGTCAAGAAATTCTTTATAAATTTTCTAAAGTTTTTATTTTATTTATAAACAATGTTATTTCTTTATTAGATAAAAAATATTTGTTTAATAAATATTTCCTTATGTATAATAAACCAGTGACGTATGACGTATATATTATACGTAGTGTTGCCCAATCGAGGGCCAGGCAGGAGAAGACACTCGTGGCTCCAAAATCTGCGGAAGTGGTTCGGGCTCACATCGGTCGAACTATTCAGAAGCGCCGCAAACAAGATCAAAATTGCCATGTTAATAGCCAACGTTCGCAACGGACAGGGCACTTGAAGAAGAAGAAGTGTTGCCCAAAATCGGTCTTGGTCTTGTTCTTGAGTTTTCGCAAGACCAAGACCAAGACCGCCTAATTTTAGCAAGACCAAGACCAAGACTGACCGTGCAAGATTTTCGCAAAAACAAGACTAAGCCTGCGAGACTCTTGCGTCTTGCAGTTAGGAGTGAGTGTAATTTTAGGGGCATAGTAGTTTGGGTATATGCTTAGAATAGAATAAAATAGAATAGAAATATGCTTTATTGTCACTGAAAAATATTGAACAATTTTATGGACAAAGCTAAAAAATAAATCAGTCAAATAGTACAAAAAGTATAAAACAAAAACAAATATAGTAAAAAACAAAATAACACAATTTTAAATTAGTAAAATTATTGTATAACCTACATAATTTGTACAGACAACAACAAATGACACAAATTGTAGCCACTGCTTGAGACACCCTAATGTTAATAGGGTATAAACACCGAAATAAACAATACTACTTTTGTTTCTTTGTTATACATTAAGAAACTCGTCAACTGAATAATATGGTCTTTCTGAGAGATAGATTTTTGTCACCTTACGAAACTTAATGAAGGATGTTGCGGATTTAATTTCTCTTGGAAGGTGATTATAAAGTTTCTTTGCACGATATAGAATAGAATTCTTTACTAGCTGAGTGGACGGGATCGGCAAATAAACACAATTTACGTTACAATCCGAATTTCTAATGGAGTAGCCATGGTCAGGTCTATCGGGAAAAATGTTTAGATGCTTTCCAATCAAACAAACCGTTTCCAAAATAAATAAGAGGGAAGCGTCAAAATTACGTGATTTTTTGAAGTAGGTCTTGTAATGAGTTGTTTGTTTGAGACCAAATAGGTAACGGATTGCTCTTTTTTGCAACTTAAAAATAGTATCAAATTGGGCCGCTGTACTAGAACCCCAAAATAGAAGCCCATTTCGAAGATGGGACTCGAACAATGAGAAATATGCCATTTTGGCAGAAGATAAATTTAGTTCCTTCGAAACAGATCTTATTGCAAAGCAAGCTGAGGCTAGTTTCTTCCTTAAGGAGTCAGTATGCAAGGACCATTTGAGATCACTGTCAATGAGAATACCTAGAAATTTCACGGAATTTACGATATTGATTTGGCTCTCATTCAAAAGCAAGGGTTGCATGACTCCTTTATAAGATAATGCTACAGTCTTATCCACGTTAAAGCTAAGTAAGTTGGAGTCTGACCAAGCCTTGATATAAGTAGATCATCGGTTATAATTTAATGAAACGTTGAAATATCATGGCTGCTCCAAGTAATACTGGTATCATCAGCAAATAGAAAAATTTTCCCTTTAATTTTCAAGTAAGTGATGTCATTAATGAAAAGTAAAAAAAGAATGGGACCTAATACTGAACCTTGCGGTATTCCACACTCAATATCTTTACAACTAGAGTCGGTGTCATTTATTCTAACCAATTGTTTCCTACCTACCAAGTAAGTTTTGAACCAGTTCAAAGACACACCCCGAATTCCATAGAAAGTTAATTTTTTTAATAGAATGTCGTGATTTACGCAGTCAAAGGCTTTGGAATAGTCGCAGAAAACGGTGGCGGAGGAGAGGTTACTGTTTTAGTGATAGATATACATCATGTAACACAGAAAATATGGCATCACTAGTGCATTTAGTAGACAAAAAGCCGAACTGATTTTTGCGATAAAATATTATATTTAAGGAGAAAGGGCATAAGTCGAACTTTTATAAGTCTTTCAATAATTTTTGATAGTGCTAGGTAACAAGGCAATAGGTCTATAGTTGCAGGCATCAGATTTTTCACCACCTTTATGAAGAGGAATGACGATGGCAGTCTTAGGCAGTTAGGAATGTAACCTTTTTCAAGGGAATCATTTACTAGCGAGACCATGACCTCCAAAACATTATGCGGTAGATTTGAGAAAATTTTAATAGATAATCCATCTGTACTACAGGACGATGTGCTTTTATACTACGAATTGTTGAAATGAGTTCCGTCTTATCAACTGATCTTAAAAAGAAGGTATCAGCAATGTTTTTGGAATTAGAGAGATAGGAAACTGGATCTTGTGGCGAAATAGTTGAGGTTATATTTTTACTCACATAGAGATTCTATGAGACGCAAAAAAATATGTAACACAAATTTTGAAAACTGAGCTTATGCGCATTACGAACAATACCATAAACATGCATACCGAATAAAAATATTTATTAAGAGAACACTTGACACATTTGACACAGCAGACGACTTCTTCGCTCTGAAATTAGTTGTCCAGATTTTGAGAATGGCCGCCTTCTAATTATAAAATAATCTTGAATTGCTAGGCCGACAATAATATCGCATCGAAACTTTTTAAAAATATGTCACTTTAGCTGATAAAAATATAATACTTACTGTTAAGGACACCCACTTAATAATTTAATTTTTTCCTAATATAATGTAGTTAGAAGAAATCTAAATAAACAAATCTTATCGAAATAAGCTAAAATATCGTTTCTGCTGAGTGTGCGATGAGATCATTCGGTTAAAAAAAATTTGCTGAAAGTGCGCGGCTATAATATTCAAAAGTAACGAGACAAATAATTAATAACAGATAATGTCGGCTACCGTGTAAACAATATACTGAAATATTTAAAGTAACGAAGTAACGATATATAATTCTGGGCTCGTTATTCGGTACTTAGGGTATTGGATGTTAACGAACATAAAGTAACTGTAAAATTCGACATCATTGATCTTTATTCCCAATTGAGCTATTTTTCGAGTCTATGGGGGCATGGTAGATAGCTGAGTTAGTTAAAGCGTAGGCACGGATCGCTTATCTCGTGGGTTTAAACCCCACCCGGTGTCAGTTGTTTAGACATTTATTAATTTGGTTGGTCTTTATTATGGCTATCTTAATTTAAGCTTAAAATGTACCTACTCTGTTACGTTGTTCTAAGATCTAAAGTACCTAACGTTTAATAAATAGCAATAGGCTAATGGATAACTACGAGACTGAGTAACTTCAAGACCAAGACGAAGACCACGAGTGCAATACCAATACCAAGACCAAGACCAGGTGTATTGGCGCAAGAACAAGACCAAGACTGTCTAAGTCTCGTCTTGTCCTTGCATTTGGGCAACACTAATTATACGGCATTAATCAAAACTGTACTAAAACCATGGTGGCATAAAAGGCCTATTAGAGTATCATATAAAATACCAGAGTAGGTTATACGACTCATTAGACATTTTCTCTAAACTTTTGGATTTATTTCTACTCCTGCTATAGTAGTGAAACATTTAGATTAACTATTTTAGTCAACATAAAAAAGGGAAAGCTGTTATCTTCATTTAAATAAATCCATTTGCGGCATTGGATATGGGCATAACTGGCATAACTATGGATGATATGATGGAAAATACAGAACTTTAAACAGTAAAGCTACCGAAAGCAAAAAATTAAAATAATATAGCACAAATTATCTTATTAGAGAATGAAGATATACAAATTGAATTAAAAGATCAAGGCAGGAATATAATTCACTACTAAGGGATAAAAACAAAGAAGAAGAAAAGAATTGAATACATAGTTAGAAATATAGACATTTCGTTTTTTTTTGTATTACCAGCTGCCGCCGAACAACACAAATTAGAATAAAAAACGCATAATAGTTCACCTTGCGGTGGCACTACTACTGTAAAGAAGATCTGTTACTTAACACTTACCCGTAGATTCAGAGCACTGCGATCCACCGTACCAGTGTAAGCGAATTGAAGACATTGTTGCATGGCATCCGGTGTTACCAGCTTGCTCAACGTGACCACAGTCTGTCCTTCCGGCTGAACGTTTCTGATGCACTGGAAAGCCGGATGATCCAGCTCTCTGGCAGTGGGCAATGCTTGGCAACTGGCCCTTCGCTTGCATGTTTTCTGTTCCGCTCGAACCAAGCATTCTGTTTCGTCGGCGAAGTCTCCCAATGAGCTGACCATGCTAGAGTCACTGGTACTGCGGGCCAGCAAGTCAGCGGTTAGAAGTCTGAAAATAATATGAAATTATACATACCTTACAATTATTAATATTTTCCTTGGCGTCACATAAGTTTTCTGTAACTTGAACTGATTTATCAAAATGTTTCAAAATATGTTTCACAGCTTCGTGATTGGCACTCCATCTAGTGTCAGATAGCTGTTTTGCAGTTACACCTATAACTTCTAATAAAATCCCCCATCTATGTGGAGAGGACAGGACGAGAAGAAATTATATACACTTTCTAAAGTTGCAAAAAACGTTATACAGCTAGGGTTGATTGCAAATGCATGAACTCCACCAAATTGAGAGAATCGTTGATGCTTGGACACCCGTATGGATGCCTGATATAGTGAATTTCAATATCATAGCCTTGACTCCTACACAATTGTAGATCCAATCCATCATTTTCCAGTGCATTTATAATATCATTGCTTATTCAATGTTTGAATAAGCTTTTATGTGACTGCAACGTTTATTACAATGCGTACTAACTTTTTATGTTATGTAAAACTATTTTATTTTATGTACCAGAATGTAATTTTATGTTTAAAATTTTTTTCGTCATTTCTTAATTTTACATTATACATAAAATAAAATCATCTATGTACCTGTAAAAAGCTCTGCTGCAAGCTGCCAGTATAAATCGATGTGCTGGAAATCCCATGGAGCCTACGACCAATACGACGTCCGTGTGAGCCCTGCTTAACCAAAGATGATGCAGGTGCTCACCGTAGGAACTTGAACATATATGGATTTCTGGTTTTAGAGGAGGAGGTGGTTTGAATGGTGCCTGAAACAGGAAAAAATTCAAAAATAATAGATATTTTTTTGTTTATTAGAATTTTAAAATATTACCGTAAATGTCTCTTAACTTGCAAGTGTCTGTCTTTTTTTGTTTTTGTTTATATGGTACATTTCGAAAAATAGTCTTTTTTATAGTTATTCTCTGTATCCAATATCTTGACAGCTGATGAATTAAAAGGGATTTGCAATCACTTTTGTGTTGCATTATTCTTTGTTTGAACCGCTGTGATGTTTGCCTTATATACTGCCTCACATTCGGGTAATGAGGGATAATATACAGGGCGATATATCGTCAAACAGGCGGTAGAAAACTCAATGGGAAATTCTAAATTGTTGAATTCCTGCTTCCCTAATTATGTTACACCAAAAATCAGGAAAAACTATTTGTAGACGACTGACAGCTATATCGAAAACAAATGTTGAAATTGTTCTACGCTTTCTAAGATTGTTCTACATTTTTCAGGCCACCCCTTAAAGTCAGGCAATACGCAGTGCAAGAATGTGTATGACATGTTGCGTTTGGTCATATTGATGTTTTTGATATTTGACAATATTTGAATTACCAAAATTTTTATTTTGTGATTTATTGTTTTTAAACATTGATTAAAAAATGTACTCAGTTGAGGAGAAAGTAGCAGTAGTAACAATGTTTTATTCAGGTCCATAGTGCGCAAATTGTCAGTTCTTTATTTAGCGTAAGATATCCCAATAGACCGATTCCAAGGGTATTCAAGAATTCAAAGGATTTTACGAAATTTTGAAAATACTGGGACCGTGATTTCTAATTGTACCTATACAAACAATATTGTTGAGGTACCAAAAAATTTAGAAAATCAAAATGAAATAAATGTACTAACATCAGTTGTACAAAATCCTAGAATAAGTTTTCGGACCAGACTTAGAGATCAGTTACAGATCAGTTTAATATTCATAATTCCACGGCCTTAAAAGTTTTGAAAAGGAATAAATTCCGTTCATATAAATTTCAATAATGTCAACAAGAACTAAGAAAAGGAGATGCTGGCGATGAATGGAATTTTGTTATGAAATTTTAGAGAGGGTTAATGCAGACAGACAATTCTTAAAAAATATTTTGTTGAGTGATGAACTTACATTTACATTAAATAATGAACCAAATGTTCAAAATTATAGGATTTGGTCGACAAGAAAGCCTGAGGATATTATTGAAAGCCATACCCAATATCGTCAAAAATAAATGTCTGGTTAGGAATATTTGACACAATATTATTGAAGAAGAAATTTGGTTTCAAATGGATGGATCCCTGCGCACAATAACTGGGAGGTTAAGGCATTCCTTAAAAACAGCCTTAATAATTATTTGATTATGGACCTGACTGTAATATTAAGTGGCCCCCGAGATCGGAAGATCTAGCTCCAAACGATTATTTTATCTGGGGGCATCTAAAATCAAAAATCTATTCTGACTAAAAATTTGCAGATATTGGAGCATTAAGAGTGTGCAAAAATAACGCCACACGTTCTGGCTAATTAGGAAGGATCACAGTAAAACTATATTGAAATTCTTTGAATTGCTGTATGACCTGGAATTGAATTGGAGTGTATTATAATATCTTACATTAAATAAAGAATTACTAAATGGCAATAATAAGTCAAACCAAAGAGAATGTATGGAAGCAGAAGCAAGATCAAACACTTAGAAGACATAGAAGATAATTCACCCAGCAAAGAACAAATCGAGGAAATCATAAAAAATCTGAAAAAACAACAAATCCCCTGAAAGCGATAACATAACAGCAGATATGATGAAATATGGTGGAAAACTGCTAAAATAATTGGATATACAAGATCATAAAAGGGATATGGATAAAAGAACGAATACCAGAAGATTGAAGAAGCCATTATTTGACCATTACACAAAAAAGGAGACAAAACAGAATGCAGTAATTAACAGAGGAGTAGCGTTACTAAATACCGTATATAAAATCCTATCAAAATCCATAAAAGATAAGCTATAAAAAGAAGTTGAAAATGTAATAGGCGAATATCAGTGCGGATTTAGACGAGGGAGAAGCACAACGAAAGAAGTATTCATAATCAGAGAATTACAAGCAGAAAGCTATGAACACAACTTACCAACGATAGCGCTATTCATCGACTTCCAGCAAGCATACGATAGAATAAAAAGGAAGGAATTAAAAGAGAACCCATGAGGAACTGGGAGTTAGCAGAAAGTTGCGTAACATGATACATCTTACTTTAGAGAATACAGAATACAGAGTCAAAGTAAACAATCATAGGATCGGACAAATTTATAGTAAACGAAGGATTAAAGCAGGGCGATCCTTTGTCAACACTACGCTTCAAATTTATGCCTAGAAAAAATAATGCGAGAAGTGAAAATCAATAGAGAAGGACTCCTATATCATAAAAGACACCAAGTTTTGGCATTTGCGGATGATATAGTGTTGCTGGCAAGAGGAAAAAAAGAGCACAGGAGGATAGTACAGAGAATAATAAAAGCAGCAAAGAAAATGAGGACTTTACATAAATGAAACTAACTAAAACAAAATGTATGCAGTGGACAGATGATCAGTTTAGGGATGGACAAAAGTTTAAAGTAGACGTAGAAGAAAGATCATCATACGAATTCAAAATGGTAGAAAGATTTACATACCTAGGTACAATAATATCACGTAAACCTAACATTATAAGAAGAAATATAAGCTAGAATAATGGCAGGCAATAGAAGTGTACATGCTCTTAGTGGAATGTTGAAAAGCAAGTTTTTATCAAGAAAAGGCAAAAATACAGTTATACAAAACAACTATACAACCAATAGTAACATACTGCAGTGAGACGTGGACAATGACAAAAAATGAACAAAATTTACTGGAGATATGGGAAAGGAAAATCCTGAGGAAGATATATGGGGAAATAATAAGGGACGGTTTATGGATAAGAAGATCAAATGATGAGTTAAAGAAATTATATAATCAACCTAACATAATAGGAGTCATAAAGGCACAGAGACTAAGATGGCGAGGTCACCTAGAAAGGATGCCGAACACGAGAACTCTAAAAAGGGTACTAAACTACACTATAACTTTAAAAAAGAGAAAAGGAAGACCAAAAATAGATGGAATCAGGAGGTAGAAAAAGATATGGAAGAAATTGGACTAGACGGCCAGAAAAGAAAAATGAATAACAAGAAGGAATGGAGAAAAGTCACATATCGAGCCAGAGAAGATCTCAGTACATAAAGGAAAGCGAAAACGAAGAAAAACACAAAATTTTTAAGCCATGGGCCTCTAAGGCCTTTAGTGCTATTGATATATAAATAAAGATCTCTCAGTGCTTGCATTATTGTCTGAATACAACATTATTGCGATTTTTCCTGACCGGAGTACATTTCATCAACTTTATTGCTTTGTAAACAATATAATTGATTGTTTACAAAGTAATATTATTTTTCACTAGTAGTAGTAGTATTTGAGAAAATTTGCTGTTTATAATTTATCATAAGATAAAAATATTGACAATTCAAATATTGTCAAAACATCTTACATCAATATGATCAAACGCAACACGTCATACACATTCTTGCACTACGTATAGCCTGACTTTTAGGGGAGGGCCTGAAAAATGTATTATATTTTTATATCCCTTATATATTATATAATATATAATACATATAATATGTAATATGAATATATTATCTCTTATATTATCCCTCATTATGAACGAATGAATTAACTAAACGATAAACATGATTCTGTATGAAAAGAAAACTCTCCAGTTTAACCTATTTGTTTGAGAAGTATTGTACTTAACGCTGCTCTTGTCATGTAACCACTTGGCCTAAAATCAAGACGAGAATATACAAACAGAAGCCGCAAAATCAACGTATTTAGGGTGAGCGTTTAATTTCGTCCTTGTGTATATTCGGTACAGTGAACTTGTGCAAACAAACACGAAAATTCCGAAGCAGGAATTAAAATGTGCCCACCATAGTAGTAAAGTCCTCTAAATTGATATGAATTGTTTCCTTACAAGTCATCAGCGTTAAACATTTTAAATGATAAACAAGTCGTAGATTGAAAAATGTGTTTACTAATATGAGGTTGACATCGAAATATGAATATACGAAGGTTGTAGAAAATATTTGTCCAAATTTAAATCTTCCAAGTACTTTTTTAGACAAAGGATATAATATAATAATATCTACATAAGAAAAAAGGCAAAATAAGGGTTGATTCCAAATCATCGAGAACCGAAAAAAACCAAAAAAGTTGTCATATGTAGGTACTATACTCTAAAAACCTCTGTTAGCAAAGATTTTATGACACAGCTGATAGTTCCCAACATAATTTACAAATTTTTTTGTCTCGTATGCTGCAGTCGAATAAGACGGGATAAGTTGATGTTCGAAACGATGCAGACGAATGCTAGCTGGATATTCGAAAGGTAAGCCTTATCGAAACCACGAAAACAACGAATTGCACAACACAACGAAACGCTATTTCGTGCCCTTGGTTCAAAAATACTGTGACTGTTCGCCTCACGTGAGCGAATAATGCACCTATTTAGTACCGAGTAAGTAAAGAAACGATGAAATAGTCCAGGTAGCGACAAATTAGCAGCAGAATTTATAAAAAAAAACAAAAAGCAATAAAAATACCACTAAATATATATAACATTGCTTGGAAGGAAGACCAGGTTTCAAAAGATTGGTAAATTTGACAGACGACATGACAGTAAGGTAGTGACACCAAATAAGGCCAGTGCCTTAATAAGGCCAATTGTAAATATTTCCTTAAATATACTATATGTATAACTAGATGTCACTGTAAGTCTCTTTCCCAGTCAAAATGGTCTACGCCATTCAGTCAGTAGTATTAAACGGCAGCGTGAAGTATACTATAGAAAATGTCACACCGAGAGTGCAGTACGGCTAATATAGGAATGCAAAATTGCAGGATTTCACGCCTTGTGCTTGGCGATACAAACAGGTCCAAGTGGTAGTCACAGAACCGTACCCAGATCTCACAACATTTAAAACAAGTTGCGCACTTGAATCACTGCGAAAATTTTAACACCTACTATGAAATTTTTTTTTGTGGAAATCTGAAGTGCAGTTTTTGTCCTTGTTAAAACATAATGTAGTATCGCATTTTTTACACACAACATAAGTTTACCTAGTTCCTTGGCATAGCAACCTGGTAGTTTTCAGCGAAACCTTGTGTTATTCCATATGGGATAATGGTTTTCCTTGCCCACACTTGACCAGATGAGCAGGTATAAGGTTTATAGTATAAGTTATTTAACATTAATATTATATTTATACTTTATTAAACTAACAAATAAATTTTAAATTACATTTCTTGATAGCTAATAAATATACAAGGTGGAACCTCCGGGAACTTGATTTTCGTGCACCCAGCCCAATATCCGAAAAGCCCATACTCTGATTGGAGTGGTAAATGCATTTTATTGGTTAATACAGTGTAAAATAATCGAGGTTACTCACAGATATTCAAATAATTATACTAAAGTCATCCTCTACATCCGAGATGTCGGATTCGCTTTCGCTACTCTCCCCTGTGTTCGCGTGTATTATCAATTGGTCTACGTCATCTTGCAGGTTGTCCGCAGTCCACATCTCAGTTTCCGTTTTCTGAACAATATGAGTGACATAATTGCGCCAATTTTGCTCTGTGACGCGTGCGAAACCGTCGTCGATCAACTGGCGTACCTCGTCGTTTTTAAAAGTGGTATTATGATGGGTACCTACGTATCGCTTAACTTGGTTCCACACCATTTCTATAGGATTCAATTCGCAGTGATATGGAGGAAGCCTTAAAATATAAACATTATGTTGTGAAGCATACTCATCAAGATGATACTTATCGTATTGATCTCTAAAAGCACGCTCTGCTTCTAATTGCTCGGATTTCAAATAACACTCCTCGAAAAAAATGTCTTTTTTTACTAGCCATTCCTTGATTGCAGCTTTATTTCAGGAATTGTTAGGGAATCTCTCTTTACGGGAGTGGTACGATGCATTGTCCATTACAATGACATTCCTGCGACCATTATTTGGTAAATTTGATATTAATGTCTCCTTAAACCACGACTTAAAATATGCGGCGTCCATTTCATCGTGATAGTCGCTATCATTTTTCTTTGCCAGAAAAACATGCTGTGTGCCAGGAAGGAAACCTCCTGAAAAACCTGCATGTACCTCCAGTACTTAAACCTTTGAGAAAAGCATCACGGACTGTTTTGTATCGTAGTATCGCACCATTCGTAATTTATAGATTGGCCAACATTAACCCCCGATTCGTCCGAATATATGATATTGCAATGGTCTTTTCGCAAACGTCGTATAGTTCGCAAAATAGGGAAAGCTTGGAATTTATCAAATACTAATTATGATAAAACAAGTTTATGGCCATATTTAGGTGATTATGTTAATGATGGTAATTTGTAGCAGAAGTTTTACAAAAGAAACGAAGACCTATTTATAGAAACAACATAACTGTATTTTTAATATTTTACATACAATAGAAAAAATCTAATTTCTATGAGAGAATTGGAAATTTGAATATTATATATAATATCTATAAATAATATCATTTCCAAGTTTCCAAATTCTTTCCTAGAAATTATGTAGGTTTTTTCTATTTTATGTAAAACATTAAAACTACAGTTATTTTGTGTTGTTCTTGTAAAGAGGTGTTCAAATGTTACTCTTATGAATATGATTCAATTGTATATCTCATGTTGACGTTTTATATGCAAAATACATAGTTTTCGGTTGTCAATAACTCATCAATGCCTTTTTATTCTACTGTATACGTATACATGATATAAAATATTTTTACTCGTACTGCCGGCAGTTGCATTTTTTCCAAGCCGGTCCTGTGAGACAATGAGCAATCAACAGCTGGAGAAAACCGACAACCCTGCGCGTTTATTCTCCATAAGAAAAGCATTTGCCCTATCTTACCCGTACTGCACTCTCAGTGTGACATTTTCTATAGACACTTTTACAAAAAATATTTAGTTTATCTTTCACGCCCCCGGTTTTAGACCCTTCAAAAACCTGTGTAATATTTTTAAGTAATACCGATGAATTTTTCACAGATAGACTGGGTTTCTATTTATCCGTTATAATATTAAACTTACCTGCAACAATGGCCGCTGAACCTTCTTGAGATTCGTCATCCAAAAACGTTGTGCTCTTCTAGCGATGAGCGCCGCCCGAATGGCGTTCTCGAACACTTCGTTAACTCCGTAATAAGTAAGTACCGAAGTTTCGTAATAGTAGAGACCGAGCTCTCGGGCGACGTCTCGAGCCTCGTCCGGCATCACCAGGTCGCTCTTTCTGGTGGCCCGTACGAAGGGACTGCGGTCTCGAAAGTAGCTGAGGTACGCTTCGTCGCGGTACATGTACCTGAAACAGAAAGGATGTAAATTGTCCGGTAAAGGGGCTCAGTAATTTATTATTTCCTGATTCTTGTAAATCGAGAACGAGTAGTGAATCCAAAGATGACTCGTAAAAAGGTCAAAGTGTATTCTTCAGTGCAGATGGCTACGGAAAAAGATCTTGATGTTCGTCAAACGTTATGTGCTTAAGGCAAATTTCAGCAGTGCTCTAAATCCTTATTAGACAGACCAGGCAAAGCAAATTCATTGCAGCAAACTGATAATAAAATGCCTAGCTAGTTAGAAATGAGTTTCCAGAGACTGCTTCTTCTTTCTCCAAAGAAAAAATTGACCTCATATAGCTTAAAGCAGTGGAAGGCTTCATTATTAAATCCCTGGGGAATACTGACAAAGAAGGCTGGAAAGCCCACAAACAAGGCCGGTATAGCCCCGGAAGCTTTCGTGAATCGAGGATCGGAATTGCGATCACACGCAAATGGTTGCAATTGACACATATATGCAAAATAAATCTCGAAAAACAGGGAAATTAACCATTTGATAACTATTAAGTCCTTCTATGTCCATAGTCAGACCTTCTTCTTCTTCTCGTGCCACCCCTAGCGGAGATTGGAAATCATCATGGCCACTGCGACTTTGTTAGCAGCGCGCCTAAAAAGTTCAATCGAACTACACTCGAACCATTCACGTAGATTACGAAGCCACGATATTTTTCTTCTTCCCACACTTCTTTTGCCCTTAATTTTGCCCTGCATGATGTTTCTTAAAAGTTCGTACTTTTCACCTCTCACAATGTGCCCCAAGTATTCCATCTTTCTAGTTTTTATCTCATTTAGAATTTCGCATCTTTTGTCTAAAGTTTGGAGTACTTGCGTGTTAGTGACGCGGTCCATCCATGATATTCTGAGAATGCGCCTATAGCACCACATCTCGAAAGCTTCGATGTTTTTTATGGTCAACTGTTTTAGTGTCCAAGCCTCAACTCCATATAACAGGGTAGAAAAGACATAAAACCGCAGCATTCGTATTCGTAACTTTATATTGATATCTCGATTGCAAAAGAGTTTGCGCATTCTATTAAAGACTGATCTAGCGATTTCTATTCTACATCTAATCTCTTTTGTTTGATCAGTATCGTCTGTGATCCAAGCACCTAGATATTTATAACAGGGCACACGCTCAATCGTTGTATTGTCTATTACAAGATTAGCTCTGATGTTCTTTGATTTCGTAATTACCATAAATTTAGTTTTTTTTCAAATTAATTTTCAAGCCGTAACTGTTACAGTATATATTGAGACTTTGAACGAGATATTGTAGTTCTACTAGCGTTCCCGTTAGGAGAACTGTATCGTCAGCATACCTTATATTGTTGATCGTCTCACCATTTATTATCAGACCAAGATCTTCTTCCTCGAGTGCTTGTTCACAGATAGCTTCACTATACAGATTAAATAAAAGTGGCGATAAGATACATCCCTGCCGGACTCCTCGACGGATTTGAATTTCTTCTGTTAGTCTGCCCTCAACCTTGACATTTGCTGTTTGATTCCAATATAGATTGCATATAATTCGAATATCTCGGCTGTCTATATTTTTCTTTATTAGAACTTGTCTTAGTGGTTCATGTTGTACTTTGTCAAAGGCCTTTTCGAAATCAATAAAGCAGGCGTAAATTTCTTGGTTCATGTCTCAGCATCTCTGTGAAAGAACGTTCATTGCAAACAGAGCCTCCCTTGTACCCAGCCCTTTTCTGAATCCCATCTGAGTGTTACTGATGTCTACGTCTAATTTCCTATAGATCCTATTATGGATTATTTTTAAGAACAGTTTTAGAGCATGACTCATCAAAGCTATCGTACGAGATTCGTTGCATTCCTTTGTATTTGCCTTTTTTGGCAGTAGTATAAAGGTCGAACGGAGCCATTCCCTAGGTATTATTCCAGTTCTATATATTGTGTTAAATAGATCTAGGAGTGTTTTAATAGATTCATCGTCCATAAGTTTGAGCAGTTCTACAGGAATTTCATCAGGACCGGGGGCCTTACCACTTTTTGCTTGTTTGATTGCATATTCTATTTCTTCTCTGATTATATCAGGCCCTGTATCATCTGTATATTCGTTTGAGATTTCTTGTCTATCTTTGTCATCAAACAGTTGTGATATGTATTCTGTCCATCGGTTCATTTTTTGTTGTAAATCTGTTATAATTATACCATCTGTATCTTTGATCTGTCCTGTCTGTGTTGTTCTTCTCCTTCCTGTCATTTCTTTAATCTTTTTGTGTAGATTAAAAAAGTCATATTTTCGCTCCAATTGTTCCAACTCCTGGCATTGCTCACTTAGCCATCTTTCTCTAGCTTCTCTTATTTTCTTTTTTATCAGTTTATCTGTTTCTTTGTATCTTATTGGATTATTTGTTTTGTGTACCCTTCTTTCACGCATCAACTGTAGTATCTCCTCATTCATCCATTCTTTATGTTTCCTTTCTTTCGGTGTTAAATTTTCTCTCCCTGCCAACATTACGGCATGTTTAATATTCTCCCATTTTTGGTCTATGTTATCAGTATTTCTATTCAGTTTCTCTATATTTTGTAAATTTTCTTTAATGTTCACTATTGTTTTCTCTTTTATATGTTGTTCATTCAGTTTTCTCACGTCAATTTGTTTCATATTGGTCATAGACAATTTGGTCATAGACAGACCAAAGAGTTTATCAAATGGTATCAAGCCAAATTTATACGCCCAGTTGAAAGATTATTAGGATTATAGTGGGACTGGTGATTGGATACTGTAGGCTTAAAAATCATTTGAGTCATATGAGTTTGCCGGTAACTATGAAATGTCTAGAACTCAGAGTAGAAAAACCAGAAGCATCAAACTGCAGACAGAAAGGGAAACAATCTGCAAAAGTCGCAGTATGTTAGTTTGTTGCCTCCTAGTTCTATCTATCTTCTTCTTATGTCTGTTGACCTCCATTCTTCCCTGTTTTGGGGTGCTAGAAAAGCTTCGTGTAGACCATGACCAATAATTCCCAATAAAACCAGTTTTCTGTTGACTTTTAGTTGATTTATAATTGTAATGTTGGCGCGATACTTGTTAAGACAACCTGCTTTCAAGGACAATATATCCAGAAAATAGAAAAAGGAGTAGAAGAAAAAGATAAAAATAGAACGAGGAGAAAAAATAAAAATATGCATATTAAACGAGTATGAGAAGAACTTAAAGGGCATGCAAACAACAATACAATTTGATAACAAAGTTAGGTATTTTCATACTTTTTCAGTAAAATTATTGCTAAACTATCACTTATATGCATTTCGACCTTATTAGGTCTCATCAGAGCGAATCAGTAGGAAGGGCTTCCTAGCTAATAAGAACGAAATTCGTATAAGCGAAGTGTAGAAGCACTATACGTGAAATCATACCTAACTATCTTTTCTATATCTTTATTTACTCGTATTTTGAGTACTAGAAGCCAGTCAATAAAAGGTTTTTACTTAGATGAAGCGATATGATGTGGAATGCAAGCTTAGATTCTCTCTGTCGATTTATTCATCGTTTCTTTGATTTGTATGTCGTAGAAAGCACAGATTTGGTTGAAAATCTGAATTTTTCGTCACAAAGCTTGCATATCAGCCCAAAACAACGTCTGTCTTCTCTCTGTATCGAAGGTCAAGATTTTAAAAGTAATTTCTAGATTTGACGAGTAACTCACTACAATTTTTCATATAAAAATGTTAAAATAACTATAGTAGTACTTATTTCTTCTCTATTTCTATTTTAAAACCGCATATACTTAAAAATATGATATAACAATAAAAATATTTACCGTAAGTCGCTCTTGCAGCCGACCAGAATGACGGGGGTGCTGGGGCAAAAACGACGAATTTCCGGATACCACATCAACCGGCAGTTGCGTAGGGAGACTGGGTTGTTGATGCTGAAGCATAGCAACACCTGAAATATATAACAAACTCTCATTATCAACTAATTTTATCATTTAACAAAAGAACGATGTACTGAAATCTAAGATAGTACTAAAGTCTATTTGTTTGGAACTGTTCATTACAAATACAAATCTTCAAATTGAGGTTAAAGGTTACTGTCAAGGCCATAAACCATTGCCCTACGAATGTAGTTGAAATCAATAAGGGTGAAAATTAAGAGTTATGTATTAATTTGTTGAAATATACTTTAAAAAAGACCTAATTAAATTAAAAACTCTTAACACTATATAAAAAGCATGAATTTTGTAAAAGTTGTATCTTGGGCAGATAATTATCTCTATTTTCTTTTCGCTCTTTAATTTTTTCACGAAGCAACTCTTCTAATAGTAGTACTATTTTTGGATTTATAGGCATCTCTATACTATTACTTGGCTGGATATCCTGGCTGCATAACCTGCGAAAATGGTTTAACTTAACCACTACCGGACTTTTTAGGGCAGCAGTCAACAAAGTCAGAATAGCCATGTTAGTGTCCAACATCCGTAACGGATAGGCACCATAAGAAGAAGATACTATTACATTCATAGAATACTTTGTCTCATTAGATCCTTTAATGACCTTTAATGATGAATTTGACAAATAATCTTTGGAATACCTGCCTGATCGAGTAAGGGAAGGTTGTTATGAATTTGATACCGTCCGTATTATGAGTTAGTAGTTCAGTCCATGCCTTATAATGAAATTATCATTTCAATAATTTGTTGCTGCTAAACTTGAAAACGTTATTTTTCAAAGCGAACGTATTGTTGGGCACTGTAGAAATATAGAAAAGTCTTGTTTCATCTACATTGTAGACATCTTTTGATGATCATTCTTTTAATATTATTTGTCTACTTTCTCTCCAAGTCGTATATCCAGATTAAGATCAACTGACTCACCACAAATTGCTTTAAAGCATAAGTTGTATCTTTGAATAAGATAAGTAATAACATTGCATATAGACCAATAGATTATGATATAGTTGATACTTACCACATCTGACCTCCCGTAAGCAAACCTTCGGTCTTTTTCGTGATCTCCGAAGGTGTCCCACAACCTCAGACTGACGTTGACGCTGTCCACGATCTCCCATGATCTCTCCAAGACGTCCTTGTAGATGCGGTATTGGTCGATGGCCCATACTGTGGGTACGTGAGTGGCTAGCAGTTGAGCCAATGAGACTTGTTTGTTACACGCGCGTGCGCAGATCAGCCGAGTTTTGCCGACGGCTGTGTCGCCCACCACCACACACTTAACTAACTCTTGGTGGGGTTGTTCATTATCCATTCCCCAAGACCACGACGGTGCCGACATCCATCACACCGTGTCCCCCTGCAACAAAATTTCAACATTAGAAGATACATCCTTTAGTGGCATTCTAATTTACGTTATTGCAAAGGAATACATTCAAGAATATATATGTAATGTAATTACTGTCGGGTTTTGTGTTATAACAAAAGTAAATATAATATCAATACACCTTGTATCTTCTGCTCTATCTGTTTGTATAATCTCTACAGTCTTAGTAATAAGTAACATGTCTTATATAGATGACAAGATCTTAACGGGTTAAACTCATAGGAACTTGGCGATCTTCAGTCGCTCATGAGAGAAGGGGAAGATTGACTTGCATCTACTAAAAGGATATAGTTGTGAAGTAACATTAAAAGAATGGCCAACTAATAGACCAGAGAAAAAAGCAAAAAAAGTACCACTGTTACCAACAAGGTTATTGAAGAGGTATATATTAATCAAAAATATTTATTTTTTACAATAAAAATTACCTCAAATATTTCCAAAAAAATTAAGAACTGAAAAAAAAATTGTTTAAACAAATTAGATGGTTTATTTAACAATCTATTTATTTAAATAATACACATTCGTAATGTACGCAAAAAGTACATACAAATAAAAAAAAAAGAAAGGTCCAAATCCATAAACAAAAAAACAGAGATACAGTTTAAAAGCTCCTTGCCCCTCCGCGCTCTCACTAGTTTCAAAACTCGACGCATAATTTCCACTAATTGATCTTATTATTGTCAAATGCCGGATTGGTTACAAATATTTTTATATAGTTGTTGTTTATTTACCTGATAGATTAAGTTTGGTAGACTTTGAATATTTTCTCGATTGCTTAGGACAATTTGATTACTTAAATAATGACTGTATAGTACTAGGCGATTTTAATGTTTCAATGTTTATAGATAATGATATGTCTGATTTCAAAACTTCTGTAGTTTTAAGTTTTGCGGGCTCTACTGGCCTTAGACAATTTAACAATGTTGTTAATCATTTGGGTAGACTGCTAGATTTGGTCTTATCGCATTTCAGTTGTGAAGTGAAGCATGATGACTCACCTTTGGTCTATGAAGACTCTCATCACCCAGCTCTTCTAATAACATTTACGGATATATTTGTAAAAGAGCATAAATTTAAGTGTGGTTTGAAGTACAACTTTAAAAAAGCAAATTTTCCTGCTTTATATCGAGAACTGTATGAAACGGATTGGAATTCTCTGGATACTTCTAATGACGTTAATGAAATTTTAAATAACTTTTATGATAAGATTTTTTCTGTGTTTAATAAGTATATTCCAGTTTATAAAAAACTTTAGCCATAAATACCCCCCCCTGGTTCGATGCTGATATCATTCACAACATCAAATTAAAAGCAAAGTTTAGAAAACAATTTAAACGATTCAAAAATCATTGTGATTTGCTTGAGTTTCAACGGTTAAGACACCTTGTCAAATCAAAAATCAGTTTGGCATACAATGTATATGTCGAGAATATCCAAATTGCTTTATCCATCAACCCCAAGAAGTTTTGGTCTTATGTAAATCAAAAAAAATAATAGTTCAAGAATTCCTGGTGTGATGAAATATAATGACATTACTACCTTCGACCCACAAAATATTGTGAATGTGTTTGCAGAATTTTTCAAGAGTGTTTTTCTGTCATCAGATATTAATTTCAAGGCTAACTCTTCCTCAGTTAACGCAGATTACTTAAATTTTTATCCTATTTTAGAGTCTGAGATAATTTTTGCTAGTAAGAAATTGAAAGACAAAATGACGTGTGGACCTGATAATATTCCATCCTTTTTGGTTAAGGATTGTATAGGTGCCTTAACTGTGCCACTATTAAAAATTTTTAATTTATGTCTTCTTAACAAGGAATATCCGAGTCTCTGGAAGGAGTCAAAAGTGTGCCCAATATTCAAAACTGGTGAAAAGGGTCAGGTAGAAAACTACAGACCAATTTCCATTATTTGCAATCTATCGAAAGTCTTTGAAATAGTTTTGTATAATCGTATTTATTCACGCACTCGTAATCAGCTGTCTCAATATCAACATGGTTTTGTCTCCAATCGGTCCACTGTGACAAACTTATTAATGGTCACACAATATATCTCAGCAGCCCTAGATAATAGAAGTCAAGTTGACGTCATATATACTGACTTTACGAAGGCATTCGACAGAATTCACCACGGCGTATTACTTTCTAAATTGTGTCTCTTTGGTCTTTCTGAGGATGCCGTGACTTTTATGAGGTCTTACTTGTCAAATAGAACGCAGTTTGTTGCTTATAATGGTTACAAATCGGAAAAGTACCTAGCTTCTTCTTCTTCCACAAGGTTCTAATCTAGGTCCATTATTGTTCTTGTTATTTATTAACGATCTGTGTGAATCAATTTCTGCACCATGTTTATGTTATGCCGATGATTTAAAGATTTATTCATTGATAAGCGACCTTAATGATTGTCATTTTCTGCAGAGTGAACTGAATCGTGTACATGAATGGTGTAATGCAAATCATTTGAATCTTAATGCCAATAAGTGCAAAGTAGTTAGTTATTCTAGGAAACAGTCTAATATATACCATCCTTATATTATCGATGGCAATGAACTTGAACGTTTGAATAAAATTAAAGACCTTGGAGTTACATTTGATTATAAACTCACCTTTGTTGAACATGTTAATTTAAAGGTTAAAGAAGCACTTAAATCTTTTGGATTCACAATTAGAAATAGTCGAAATCTCACTAATTTCAATACACAAAATGTAATACTTTATTACACTTTTGTACTCTGTAAACTGCAATATTCTTCTGTCATTTGGTCACCTTTTTATGATGTACACATCCAAATTATAGAGCACGTGCAGCGTAAATTTTTAAAATTTTTGTCTTTCAAAATTAACGACATATATCCCAGGAGGGGCATCAGCAATAGCGAGTTGTGTAGCGGTTTGGACGTAGTATCATTAGAATCTAGACGAATTAATGCCTCCCTAATATTCATGTACAAGCTACTACATAATCTCATTGACTGCCCTGATATTCTTCGACAAATAAATTTTAACGTTCCATCTTATCCAGTGAGAAATTCGATTACGTTCAGAAATACACAAGCTAGAACTAATCTTATGTTAAATTCTCCTCTAGTTCTCATGTGCAACTATTATAATTCCTTAAGTGCTTACTGCGATATATTTCACTGCAGTTTAAAGCAGCTTACTAGGATGGCTGAGATCTACCTAGGTGATTAAGTAGTTTCTTTATGTTAAGGTAAAATACTCGAAAAATATGTTATTTAGTTAGTACCTATGAATTATTAATATTTCATTTAACTTTAGTATTGTATTTTGTCCTATAAACGGATTCTGTTGGACAATAAACGCTATTCCTATTATTATTATTAAAACCGACCAAATTTGAGGACCACAATTTTGAAGCTTTGTGAACGATTTCATTAAAATGCAATCCTTTTCGAATTTTTCACATTAGAACTTTAAAGTATGTTCTCTCAGATGACGCTAATAGGGTCTCTTAATTGTTACAAACAAAGCTGTTACCAATTTATTAAAAAAGCATTAACTTCGTCCCAAAGTATCTTAGATTATTTTATTTTCTTGCAGTCAATGGTTAAAAAATTATTCTAATTGTTTATAAGCAAAAAATCGACATGTTTTTGCCAAATTATTTTTCCTCAGTTGTTTTCTTCTTGTTGTAGTTCCTTTTCCAATCGGAGATTGGCTATCATCATAACTATCCGTACTTATTGGCGACTACTCTGAAAAGATCTACTGAGCTACAACTATACCACTCTCTTAGGTTTCTTAGCTAGGGAATTCTTCGACTTCCTATGGATCTTTTACCACTTTAGCCTTAATATCTCATATTTCGCACCTCTAGTAACGTGACCTAAATATTCCAGCTTTCTTTTTTTGATGTGCTTTATGACTTCGCAATTCTTTTGTAGCCTTCTTAACACTTCTGCATTTGTAACTCGTTGGGTTCATGGTATTTTCAAAATCCTTCTATAGCACCACATCTCAAATGATTCCTACTTCTTTATATTATCCACTTTTAGTGTCCAGCTTTCCATTCCATACAAAAAGTCGAGAACACGTAGCAACAATAAATCTTCTTCTTTCAGAAGCTACCAGTATAATTAATATAACTATATAATTTTCTGAATTATATTGTTGCAAAAAATTTCATTTGGGATAAATAAAAGAAATAACTTTTAAACTATTTGACCGATCGAAATTTTTAACATATTTTAAGCACCGCAACACCCAACGTTATTATGTAATATTAAGGTTATAAGTTTATTTAAAAAAAAAAGTTATTAACATTTATATAAAACCAAAATTTTTAACTTATTTTGCAACTTTCTAAGCAACAAATAAGGATATAAACATTTAGAAAACGCCATTTTGAAATTTTTTTATGACATAAGTTTCTTATTCTCAAATTGGTTTCAAATGCTTTACTTATTTTTTGATAGACGGAAAAAGCGAATATTTACCGTTTTTTGACATTAATATAGTACAGGAAACATATAGATATTTGTTATAGAGGTCCATATCACCACCATACTAATCAACCCAACTGTCGTTTGTCTGGCTGGACGAGTGTCACGAAAAAAAAAACTTATTTCCCTGGGTTGTAAGCAGGACATTTTTAGAAATGGAATTATCTTTTTGTAGTTCGTACAGTTTTGTTTTTAACAAAAGATATCCACAGCACAGATCAAAGTATATAATCAATGAGTACTCCCTGTTCTTACTTATGGTTCCCAAACGTGGACATCTATAAAGGCAAACATGGACAAAATCATAAAAACTCAAAGAGCAATGGAAAGACAAATGTTGCACATAAGACTAATGGATAAGAAGAGAAACGAGTGGATAAGAGAGAAAACAAAAATGAGGGATGTTAGACAAGAAGTTGCAAAATTGAAGTGGAGATTTGCCGGACACAATATAAGACAAAAAGAAGACGATGGAACAAAATTCTTATAAGTT